TATCAACAAAGAAATTGGGATGTCTACAGATACACAGTTTTCTAGATGAATACAACAGGAGATCTTATGTTTTCTTTCTTGTATATTATGAACTTATATTTCTACAAAATAAACGAAATAAAATACAAACAATTCCAGCAGACGATGAAGACAGATAAATAACATGCACTAGGACTAGTATTTCATGAACTTCCACTACATGTAGGGTCAACAGTAGACATCACAGAACCCATGCTGTGGCAACAACTTCTTTAACAAAGAAAAGTCAGCCTAAATGTAAAACACCTGCTTTAAAACATGTTTAGGAACTTCATGGATTATTGTGGGATTAGGAGACGAGCGTAAAGAGTTGGTATGTATAAGCTGCAGCCTTAAACACAAATCCTCAAAACTAATCCCATGTGACAAGGAAATGTGTAACATGAAAAGGCAGCATTTGCTCGCTGACCAAACCAGCGTCATCTGTCAAGTGGAGTGTACAATTAGGCGACGACTCCTGACGTTTGCTAGGTCAGCATACTGCCGGTAACCCATCTGGTCTAATGTCAGGATCATGCCAGATTGGCGCAATATAGCTAGACTAAATCACCTCCGCTTTTCTGGGTCAAGTTGAATGCGCACAATTTGATTTCTCGCCCCCCCCCCCCCCCCCCCAAAAAAAAAGTGGACTCGAGACAGGGATATTTTCACCGCCGTCAAAATGCAATGGTGATAGTGTACGTAAGGCTCCTTCAACAGTTGATACGTTATATATAATTCTTTTCACCAAAGTAGTGTCAGGCAGTTTCGACTATGCATGCCTTTCAATTTGACCAAAACTTTTCTTCATTGGCATCGTGCGTAATTGTTGGGACTAGTTGATCTGAAGAACGTATCATACAGAGGTTAAAGCCTATTTACGTAGCTTTTGATACGAGTTCACTGGCCACTCCTCCACCGACTTCCAGACCAGGCTCATTCACGGAGACCAGAGAAGTTAACTCAGGATACGTCCAACCACTGAAGTTGCAATCGATTTTTAAAAAAAATACGAGTACAGAAATGTCAAGCAGTTTTCCGAGACGAGCAAGAGCCAAAAATAGATCATCCAGGTCAGAATGTCAGTCGTGTCAAGCTGCCTTTAGCGGTGTGGGGAGTGAAATGTTGACACTGCGTCCATGGAATATGGGGCATTCAGCGACGATGTTCGTTTGGTGTCGAGTGCCGATCCATCAGGCCGCTAGGTGATACATGTACTGAGCAGGCTGTCCACGAAAGAAAGTTCTCGAACTTTCCAGAATCAACTAGATCTAGATCTAGTAACCAACGATTATTGTCTTGTGAAGTAGATCGATGACAAGGACTCTGCAAGATTATCCAGCTTGATAAGGACATTTCTGCACACATTGTTTTAAAATAGTCAATGTAAAAGGTTCATTCTTTTTGCAACATCAAAGTTTGCACCTCCCGTTCCCGACTTTCCTCCCCTCCTCACATACGCTCAACAAGCATTATAAAAGAACACACACTTGTGCACACTAATACACACTCATACACACACATTCACAAGCACACTTTATGCATAATATAAACGAGCGCACCAAAATGCCTCCAACATAATATTATATATGTTTCTCTTCCTCTCACACACATACGTACACATTCTCTCTCTCTCTCTC